AACTATATCTTGCAAACAAAATTATTGGAAAATGGCTTATATCTAATGTCATATGACTAGCAAAGATATATTAGCGTCTTTATTACACTAATATATGGTACTTCAGGATCAATAAGTCCTTCATAATTTTCTCAAATTGAAAAATGGTCATTTCTTGATCAGTGACTCATAATCATTAGCATCCACATTAAGATTATTTATTAATAACTTAGCTATATATATGGATGTCATTAGATAAAAATTTTTATTTATGAATTGGTTCAAGCTTGAGGCTGAAAACAAAACTTTATATTTCCAATCATTTTCATTCTCAAAATCCTCCTTTTAAAGAATTTTACAATCTTTGGAAGCTCTTAGGAGTCTCCAATAAATATTATGATCAAATAATGACAAATTTACCAATTTCATATGCAAATATTCTCTTATACAAAAAAAATTCATTAACATATAACGATATTATTAAATATAAAATATTCTTCCAACAAAATATTCACTAATCAAAAGATCACCCTTACTCATGATAGCAATAAAGGCAATATTAAAAGTATGAAAGTATGTGGGACTCTCAACCCAAAAAATATTATAAAGTACAATATAATCAATTAAAATAATATTATATTTTCATCAGCCATAAATGCGATTATAAAGTATTGTATTAAGATTTCTTATTCCATGTAAGAATCTTGGAATATATTTCGAAATCTTGAATATATTTCTTAGGGTCTTAATTTGGTTGCTTCAAGTATTTTTTCAATATTTCATAGATATTATTATCCAGTAATCAATATAGAACTCTAAAATATTAGTTGAATATATTTCTTGAGAATTTAACTTTATGCTTCAAACAACTAGAATCCTTTAAGGATTTTCATATAGATATCTACGTCAAATTAAACATAAAATTGACATCTCTTTATATTCTCCAATAGACTATATGCTCAAGATCCTCATCATTTTTCACAATTTCAAGCGCTATATTTACTGTCGATGTTTATTTTATATCAGTTTCATATTTGTCCTGACATAACATAATTTATAGAGATCTCATAATCTGCATTGATTTCAGCTATCTAAGTTTCTTCAGAAAACTTATTAGTCATGTCTAGGATCTCTTCTAGAATTTACTTTTATAAAACTTAACCATCTTGAATATTTGCTCCTTTTCTTTTTCTAAGATTTTTATCCTTAGAATTGGTTGGTCTACCACACTTTAGGCGTGCATTAGACTCCTTAGCACAAGCAGGTTGTTCTTCAGGGACTTCAATTCTAATAGGAGCATTTTACAGCTAGTATGTGAGATTTAATTATTTCCTTTTCGATAAAAAATATATCTGCTAACTATTTTGCAAATGAATTATCTTTTAAACTTTTTAATTCACACTGCTTTTATGAGGATCAAGATATAATAACGATAATTCACTGCTTTTATGAGGATCAAGATATAATAACGATAATTCTTTTCCAATCAATTATTCTTCTAGCTGCTTATTTTCTTCCCTTAATGTTGAGATCTATAATAATTAGCAAATTTGACATATATAAATTTATTGTTTGAAAGTTCTACATATTTAATTATAGATCATATCCGATATATATTTTCAATCTCCTTTTGAGGACCAATCTTAGTGCATTGTGGTGGAGCAATTAGAACATATCCTGCACATTGAAAAACTTCTCAATGGATAATGTTTAGTTCCTGATCCAAAAATCAATTATGAAGGGGAGAACTTATAATAACTTATTGACTTGATATGAGTAAGTGATATTAAATTTAATACAATGTCCTTCTAAAAATAGGGAGATTCGTTCTCATAATAATTGTTTTGCAATTAATTGCAATCATTTATAAATGATTCTACTAAATCATTTTTGAGCATAAATAAAAGCAATAACGGGTTGCCCTAAATTATTTCAATTAACACATGTTATAATCATTAAAGGTTGATGTGTAAATTCACCATTATTCTTAAGATAAATTATCTTAATAGCATAATCTGAAAATTATATTCTTAATCAAATTATTTGCACAAATAATCTTGCAAACTTCAGGTTGCAAGTTAATAGTATTTGAATCAAATTATTTGCACAAATAATCTTGCAAACTTCAGGTTGCAAGTTAATAGTATTTGCAAACTCCATGTTGCAAATTAGTAATCATGTAACTATCTTTTGAATGCATCCATAATATATCCAAATAAATTCATCATTATTCTCAAGATAAATTATCTTAATAGCATAATCTGAAAATTATATTCTTAATTAAATTATTTGCGCAAATAATCTTGCAAACTTCAGGTTGCAAGTTAATAATATTTGCAAACTCCATGTTGCAAATTAATAATCATATAACTATCTTTTGAATGCATCCATAATATATCCAAATAAATCGATCAATAATTCTCTTCATATATTCCAGAAAATACAAATAGTTCAATTTGAACTCTTAGTGACTGCTCAATAATTAATTTATTTTGAGAACAAACTAAGCATGAATAATTTAATAAATTTGCATAAACTTCTGGTTCTTCAATAAATATCCATATAAGGATCAAATTTTCTTTTTTTGCATCATTATTGATTAGGATGGTCCAACCAATCATGCCAAATAATAAAGTACTTGGATTTGTAAATAATAAAGTACTTGGATTTGTAAACTTCTACTTTATAACCATATTTATTTAAATCATTATCTATACAGATTTTAATGAATATATTTAAAAAAATGCATTATGCATAAAATTCATTCTTTTAAGTTGTAATACTTGCTCTTTTGGAGCCTTTAAATATTCTTTTGCTAACAATGCCAAGTTTGTTTTTCAATATTTTGGTATACAAGTACATAACCAATATCCATATATGCCACATTTAATTGTACCACTTATGGTGGTGAAATTTATACTTAATTATGTGGTCACCATAATTGTTAAGATCATTACTTCAACTATGAGTGTTGATATTTTCAATAATCTATATATCTTTGTCATTATTTATATCCACGTCCAATATCATATATTATTGCATTCATTTCAGGGAATGCATCAAATTTAGTTGGGTGGATTTCAATTCTCCCATTTTCAGTATTATATATCATTCCATCCACTTCATGGAATGGAGCAAATGCAATTGGGCAAGCTTTATAATATTTATTAAGAGCTTTTTATTTTGGCCAATGATAAAAGGACATGAAATAAATCTAAATTTTTTCTTAAAACTTTTCTCTCGATATTGCTACTTCAGAAGCATACTCGAGGTATAAATATTATTAACAATCTATATCAAGGGCTAATATAGCTCCAAATAAGATAACGATAATATTATAACTTTAATATTACAGAATTATAATTACTTGCAGTTTTGCAAGCTTTTTCATGGTAATAACATCCATCTATGATGAGCTTTTGGTGGTTATACCTTTCTTTCAAACTATTCAAAAAAGAAAAAAAACAAAAAAATTGTGCTATTTTGATTTGATTTTTAATTTCCTTCTTTAATTATATCTCCAAGATCCATTACGTTCAAATAATATATAACAATAATAAAATAATTTTATTATGCAATAAGATATAACAAAAGTATTTAATTATGTAACAAAAACTATTCATAAGCATCATAAAAATAGTAGGTTCATTATAATCATTAGGTTATATTAATAAATTATTAACTCTAGTTAGATGTTAAACCATTAAAACAATTATACTGTTTATACGAATATTTTTTTCGTTCACCATATTAACCCAATCTAGACTACTTAACCAAATTAACTCATAAAACAAAAGCAAATAATGCTTGCAAAAAATCTCAAAACGTGGTTCTTTACTTTGGAACAGCAATATTATTTATTTATGTAGCTACCAATTTCACATATAGCCAAGAAAGTATATGGCTGGCTATCTCACAAAAAACAGATTTCAAAGCACAGTGCTGATAAGTAACGTCATAATTTGAAAGTATAAACATATATCTTATGATGCAAATTATGAAACAGTAGCAACTAGCTAGCTAAGCCATTAACTCAAGGCTCAGATCTCCTCCATTCAAAACAATTGCATTTTTAGTAATTTTAGCTTAGTCAAAACTGACTTAAACGTATGGCTAACAAACTCTTATACAGAAATTTATTCGTAACTGGTTCAACAAGAGATCTAAACAAATAATCTAAAACCAAAACTCATCTAATAAAAGCAAATAAATTAAAAATGGACAGCACTAAGAGCAAATAATAATAGAAAATACCAATAAATTGCCAAACATCCAAAACGTATCAAGTTTGATTACCATCATAAACATATTGGACAAGTACCAATAAACTGTCAAACGTCCAAAACGAAGATGATCTAATTTTTCAATACTTCAAATTATTATTATTATTATTTAATCATCAATTATTAATAAATAATTAATGAAATCCTATATAAAAAGCACGCAAAAGAAAATACCTTTGAAGAGTAGATAAATTTAAAAACACACCTGTTAAAAACCATAAGTTTTTCTCTTTTAAGCAATTTGATTAATCAATTACTAGAACAATGTGTTATAAAATAATAGAAAAATAGAGAGAAGTAAAGAGATAATAGAAAAAATAGGGAGAGAATACGAGAGTATATTTAAGTGTAACGTCCTACACATATCAGGAAGATAAAGTTCGCAGTAATTAAAAATACAGACTTTTAGCTCATGTAGGACATCCAATTATTTCATAACAATAGCAGCAAAAAGATATAATCATCATCAATATTAAAAGACATGATGGAAAAATTAATTCAACCTATATTAAGGAAAAAACAAAAAGAAAAAGGAAGAAAATGAAAGCAAGAAATTATGCTAAGACTAAAGTATTTAATTAATAGTTGCCTTGACTAATTCGTATTTAAATTAAATAATTAAAACTTACAATATTTTCAAAAATCCCTTAATATATACAATCTTAATGTAAGAGCCAGCGGAGTAACCTTCTTCTGGTCCATAATATGGAGCTGAAGAAACAGAATTTAACAGTCAAAATGACGCTTGCGTGAGCTGAGCTGTTTCCAAAGGTTTAGCCTACAAGTATGGAAATGTGTAACAACATCAAATCAACAGAGAATGAGTTAAAGAAAGGGAAGCAGGAAAAAAGAAGAGAAAGAAAGAGAGATATGGAAAATGTGATTATTTCTTCTTCTAATTCTTCAAGGGAAGGAATCATTGCCGCCCCTCCTTTTTCTACTTCTTCTAAGAAGTCAGGAGGAGGCTGGAGATCCATTAAATACATTCTTGGTAAAGATGGGTTATGTTTTTAAATGATCATTTTAATTCTTCTTGTTTTTTTTTTCGTGTAATTCATATAATTATATTGCCTTATATGCGTTTTTTTTTTTTAATGTTTGTTAGGGAATGAATCCTTCGAGAAGTTAGCTTCAATGAGTTTGATAGCAAATCTAACAGTTTATCTACAAACCCAATACAATATGGATGGCATTCTTATGGTTAATGTATTCAATATTTGGTCTGGTTCTTCTAATCTTACACCATTAGCTGGTGCTTTCATATCTGATGCATATTTGGGCAGGTTTCGCACTCTTCTTTACGGCTCCTTTGCTTCTTTCCTGGTATAGATGTATATAGATATATATGTTATCACTTGCATTTTTTAATTTCTAGATTGAGAATTGTATGTGAAATACCAAAAAGTTTTGGCTCAATGATGCTACAGCATTTCCAATAACTACAAAGTTGCAAATTTGAGCCGCATAACCTATTGAACCAAAATATATTTATATTGATGATTTAGTTTTTATTTTAATAGGGCATGGGAACCATCACTCTAACTGCAGGGATATCTAGTTTAAGACCCATCAGTTGCCACAAAGAGGACGATTGCCAACATCCTCAATATTGGCAGCTTGCAGTTCTCTATGTTGGTCTTGCATTGCTTGCAATTGGAGCCGGAGGCATTAGGCCTTGCAACATTGCATTTGGGGCTGATCAATTTGACACCAGAACAGAAAAGGGAAGAGCTCAATTGACTAGCTTCTTCAACTGGTGGTACTTCTCTTTCACTGTGGCTCTTGTGATAGCTCTAACAATTGTGGTGTATGTTCAGACTAATGTTAGTTGGGTTGCCGGTTATGCCATACCAACCTGTTGCCTTTTCCTCTCCATTTCCATTTTCTTGATGGGGAAACACACTTACCTAATCAAGAAAGCCCAAGGAAGTGTATTTGTTGACATTATTAAAGTGATTGTAGCTGCCATTAGAAAGCGTAATCTTGATTTGGCTTCAGGATATACTCTTTATGATCCTCCTCATGTTGAATGGGATGAGCAGGAACCTAAACTTGCTCACACTGATAAGTTTAAGTTCTTGGATAAGGCTGCTATGATTTCTGATCCAAGCGAATTGGACGAACAAGGAATGCCCTTAAATTCTTGGAGATTGTGTAGTGTGCACCAAGTGGAGCATTTAAAACTACTACTAGGAGTTGTTCCAGTTTGGTTTACAGGGATTGGTTGTTTTATTACGATGGACCAAATGAATACTTTTGGATTAATGCAAGCTATCCAATCAAACAACATTATTGGAAACTTCAAATTTCCACCAGGCTGGATGGGACTCACGTCGATGATTGCACTTTCCACCTGGATCTTCATATATGAGAAAATTTATCTGGGTCATGCAACAAATAGGTCAAAGAAAATCAAAAGATTGACATTGAAACAGAGAATCAATATCGGTATTACAATGGCAATAATATGCATGTTAGTAGCTGCAGCAGTCGAGAAGGAGCGAAGGAACTTAGCTTTAAGACATGGGTCTTTCATGTCACCGATGAGCATTTTTGTGCTCCTGCCCCAATTTGCCTTATCAGGTTTAAATGAGGCATTCACTGCGGTTGCTATTATGGAATTCTTCACCACGCATTTGCCTGAGACTATGAGAACTGTTGCTGGTGCGATTTTCTTTCTCAGCTCGTCTGTAGCCAGTTACCTGAACACAGTTCTTGTCAATGTTGTGCATCATGTGACAGGGAAGAATGGAAAATCGCCATGGTTGGGTGGCCATGACCTCAATCGAATTAAAATTGATAACTATTTCTACCTCATTGCTGGTCTGGCAACTCTGAATCTCCTATATTTCAATTTATTTTCCTCTCGGTATCTGAAGAACAATGTTGATATACCAATGCCTGAATCAATACAGGACCAAGGAAAAGACAAGGAGATGAAAGCAACTGCTTAATTAGGAATTGACAGAGAACAACAGTTCTAGAGGTTACTTTGATTCATTTCTCTATCCTTGGTTTTCTGATACTTTGTTAGCAATTTCAAATATGGTAAATGAAAGCTCATTGTCTTTTTTTTTTTTTTTTTTTTTTTTTTTTTTTTTTTTTTTTTTTTTTTTTTTGGCTTTAGTGAATCAAAATTACATTACATGGGATTTTTTTTTATTTTAAAAACCATGGGGAAAAAGAATAATGCAATTGAAATATCAGCGATTGTGATGACAGTTTCCATACAAGTCACAATTTTATTATTAGTACGTTTATGCTCAGAGGAAGAAGGAACGAAGATGGAGGGAGGGGGGGGCCTGAGAGTAAAATTTATATCTACATTGCCTAGACCTAGTACAGTATTATTCAGCGTGTCATTTATTGACAAATCAAGCAAAATTCCAACGGCTATGTCCCCTTCCCGCCCTTTCGTTCATATTCCTTCAATCAAAAAGAGTCATCTCTTCTTTCTTTTTTTTTTTTTTTTTTTTTTTTTTTATTTTTTTTTTTTTTTTTTTTTTTTTTTTGAAAATAATGCCCAACAGCCACGCCCTCCGTCGATTGTTCCTCCTCCCCTGTTTCTCTCCTTCCACCACCGCCACCAAGAAACGCCTCAGCTCCTCTCTTCTCTTCACCATGATCCTCCTAACTTAACAACCAACTACGGAGCCAAAAATACTTAATTTATCGTCTGCTGACAAACGTTTTTTTTTTTTTACAAGCGTTGAAGTTAGAAAACAAGTTATACTAACTAGACAACTATTGTCTTTAATAAGGTATAAAGTGATATATTATTTTGATGTAAGTGATAAATAAAAATTATTATTATAGTCATAAAAAAAATAAATATTTTCATAAACGCATTACAATTCAAGACTCAAAAATTTGAGATTTGTCATCTATTAATTTATAATTTTAAGGTGAGAAAGATAGCATCTGCAAATAAATACAATTTACTTCATATTTGTCATTATTTTCATTTTTATATCTACATTTACCTCTTATTCATTTGTTTAATTATGCACGAATATCTCTAAATCCTTTTTTAATATGAAATTAATCATTTCAAAATTCATTATTATTCCTCTCACAAGTGTTTTACCCATAGTTAAAGGTCAAATTGAGTTCAATGAAACTTTTTTTTTTTTCCCTCAAATTCTAAATATTATTAATAGAAATTGGAAAATTCAATCAATAGATGTATATTGTTATTTTATTGACTTTAATTATTTATTAAGTAGTACTTTTAAAATAAAAATATGATTTTAATTTATTTTTAGTATAATTTAATTAATTAATTTTAAATTAATTTTAAAATACTAATTTTTTTATTTGGATATATAAAATTAAAGTATATTTTTATAATAAAAGTTCAGATTATTTATTTATAGTGTTTTGTTTATTATGAATTTTGCAAGAATGATATAAAAATTAATTACATATTAAATTCTATCAATTTATAATACAAAATTCTAATAAAAGAATAATATTATTCCAGCACATCGGACCTTCAATAAATAAAAAAAGAAATATATATTATTACAAATCATAATATAAAATATGGAATTAATATATCTATATAGAAAACTCCAAATATTTTGAAAAATGTAAAAATGAATATATTATAAATAAAATGTAAAATGGACCCACGATGATTCGAATCTTGGTTGTTGAAGGCAACAACAAAACCAACAGTACCACTCAGCTACACTGAAATTGTTAAGATATTACATATAACAAAATATTTGTCCAGAAGATTAATTGTTTCCTTGAATCTTTTTAGTGATGTCAGAAAATTAGGGTTTTGGATGGTTCTTTTCCTTGGAGGACATGAGAAAACTACACGTAGTCATTCTTGGGAAATTCTTTGTCAAGAATTTTTTATCATGATAAAGATGCGAAAAGAGGTATTTTGTTGCCAGAATACTATTCAAGTTTGTGATATTAGAAATTCTAGATATTATTAGATTTTTTTCTGGGAAACAATTCAATTATTTCTTTTATATATATATATATATATAATAGATCAAGATTATTATCCTATATAATTAAAAGAAAATATTATGCCTGATACTTTCACATACATTTGAAAAAATTTCTCATAAAAAAAAACTAAAATTACTCTGTTATTATAAATAAGATTTCAATTTTACTCCTTGTTTGAAATAAATGAAGTCTATAAAATTTTATAAAATTTATTTATAAATCCAAATTTTTGTCTTTGGAATGAAAAAAAAAAAAAAAAATTAAATTTATTTATAAATCCAAAATTTTTGTCTTTGGATTGAAAAAAAAAAAAAAAAAGAAACGAGTTCAATTTTATGGATTTGAATATAATAACTTAAATTCCTACTAAAAAAAAAAAAAAAAAAAAGAACACGAGTTCAATTTTATGGATTTGAATATAAAACTAAATTCTACTAAAAAAAAATATGGAATTTTTAATTAAATTCTATAAACTTAAGCAATCCAAGGCTTTATGATAAAACTCTACATCTCCTCGGTCTTCTAATATTATTATGCTAAGGGTATTTTAAAAATAAAAGCAAATATACTTCAATTTTTGAATTTGTTCCAAATATTAAAAATTCATATACAAACAAATTCATATTTTGAATTCATTTATATTAAAAAGTAGCGATAGACCTTTAAAGTACTATGGGATTTTATTGAATAAATTATTAATCTAACTATTATCAAGTGAATGCTTAATCTTGAATGAAGATGCTTATTCTGGTCACAAATTTAATTTGTGAATTACACATTTGAGTTCTAATTGTGCTACTAGCTGAGCTAGGCTTTCTATAAATTTGAAATACTTGCTATTTATCAAGTTTTTGACTGTTCCAAGATTCTCCTTCTACTATATTTTAATCATACGCCCGTATGCATCTGATTCGAGGACGTGAGCTTTCTTTTTTGCGGTTCAAATCATTACTCCTGCACTTGCCACTTAATGATACTGATCCTTATTTTTGTGTTGTACACTTGTAGGAAAATTTTGCAACCTTAAAGTGGCAATATGCGCTTCTCATGGATTGGTCAAGTTGAGAGTTGGTAATGGATACACATAGCAACAGCAACAAATAGGCTTCACAATAATGCATATGGAGAGAGCTTTTTGTGGCTAAAAGAATGGCGAGAGCTTAGCAACACCCAAAAGACATCAGATTCAAAGTTTCATGGCCTCCAATGTTTTTTTTGTTTCAAAAAGAATTTTGTCCATATGATCAGTTGGTCCTACCAAATTGTCCAAGTCATCATGCACGACCACTTAAATCATCAGCAAAGAATCGACTAATAATATTTGCTAAAAGCACTTGTGGCTACAACTGTTTCGCTAGTTCTTTTTTTACACGTGCTTTCATGCTGGGTGGTCAGATGGCATTTATGTGAAGCTCCCTCAACAGTGGGGATTTCAAATTTTAAGTCTTTAATCTTGCAGCCTGAGAATACTTTGGCTAATTTTGTTTATAACTAGAAAACGAATTAAAATAGTAGGCTGTCTCTATGTCTCTCCTTGACCAATTTTAATGATCTTAATGACATTTTAATAATAGTGCTTTTCTTGAAGATATTAATTCCTGTAACAACTGTTTTGATTTTAATAGCTCCTACTGCGAACAGAAAGCCAAAATTTATGGGACCTACAGAAAGAAAGTATCAATGCAGGCTTGTATACTGACCACCAGATTCTTTTGCTTCTCATAATTAATTTTAATAAATTTCAGTTCTGCTTCAAGGAATTATTGCACGAGCCTTTACTGAGCAGAAAACAGTGCCAAAAGTAAATTTGTGTGTCGGTTGCTGAAAATGTTAGAGAGAAGAGCTGTAGTGAGGGAGACGGACATGCCAGAGCTAATGCAGAGCCATGCCATGGAATTAGCTTACCAAGCTCTTGATTCACATGAAGCCTCTGATCGCCAATCTATCGCTCATTACATCAAACAGGTCTCTTGTTATCCCTTGAAATCTTTTCTAACTACATAAGTTAAACTAAGTTCGAGTAAACCTTTAACAGGTCTCGGCTTGCTTACAACTCTAATTTTATATTGAAAAGCATAGTGAGAAAATAAGTAATATGATGAAGTTCTAAGGAGCATAATATGGTAATTTAATAAGGAAAAAGAAAAGGTATAATAGAACTGCATTAATTTTAAATACACACAGATTCCGTACAATTCGTGGTTGTAGGTTTTAGCAGATGTCATTGCTTAAGATTTTCTTTCTTAAAGTAGCATGTCCTATTTATATAGATGAGTCTATTAGTTAGAGAAACCAAAAATGCTTTTATGAAAAAAGCATCATTTTAAATATTTTTGGAAAAATTAAATAGTTCGAGAATATTGGTTGTGTAGTTATTTTAATATTTTTATGATTAAAATATGTTTTAAAAATATAAATACCTTGTTGTTAAAATTAAAATTGTTAAACAGAAATTTGATGAAGCTTGGGATTGTGTGGCTGGGAATGTCTTTGGGTCTTGCATCACTCCTTTATGTGGAAGTTATGTGCTGTTTCGAGTCGAGATATGTTGGAGTTTCTAATATTCAAAGATGGAAAGGACTTGTTCCAAAGCAAGGAAGAAGCCATTGGCGGTGGTGCAGAAACCCAACAAATGAGACTAATCAATAATCTAGTCATATTTAAGAATTCTTCCTATGTTGTAGAAATCAAACTTAACATGTTTAGTATTAGCAAAATAATGATTCTAAAAATACAACATTAGTTGTATAAACAAAAATTTGTTTTATGTAATTTCTAGTAAGGTAAGAGTTAATATCTTTTTAGCATGCTGCTAATAACCTTATCCTATGAGATACAGAAGTACTGAAAAAACTATATAATAATAATATTATAGGATAGAGTAAGAAATGACCTCAATTACTTGTGATGGGTGGTCTGGTTGGTCTTCTGATTAACGTGAGGAGTAGGAGATCTTATGTTCGTATTTTTTTTGCTACAATATTTTTCACTAAATTAGTAAGCCGAGGGAAAAACTATTCTTTATTTTACAGTTCACAATGTTATTCGGACGTACTGAGCCTCTTAATCAATAAAAAAATAACCTGAATGGATTTGGAAAAGCAGCAGAGTGTGTTTTAGCCACCATAAGTAGTAGTTTTCTTGCACTGCCAGTAAGGAGGAGGTAATCTGCATCCCAAGGACTAGATCGTCCAAATCAAAAATGAAAATCTAAACCTCAGGATGCAGATTACCCAATCCTAACCCAATATCAAATTATAATCAAAGAAATTAAAAGAAGTAGAAATTGGGAATTGAAGAGAGAGAGAGAGAGAGAGAGAGAGGGAGAGAGAGAGCTGTTGAAGGTGATATGCATGAGTATCAGAATTTATAATGGCTTCTTAAAGATTAAAATGATTTATTCCCTCATAGAATAAAGTTTGCATGGATGATAAGGTGCTCTTATACTGGAATAATCAATAATTGATTCTTGTTCTAACGAAAACCAATCATAGTTTAGGAAGCTTGCTTTACAAAGAAAATGATATTTTTGATTGATCTTGACTGCTTTTTCCAAGAGGACTAAGAGAAGATCTCTGCTTGGTCATAAATGCTTCTTCCAAATCAATCATTATTACGCTAATTGGAAAATACTCTACAAAATAATCTGCATCGCAAACTTGTCGAAAGAGGGATAAATATAAATCTTTAATTAGTGTTCTTCAAGATTACTTTATACCATATGACTGTGATTGAATTCCAAGAATCTCAAGCTTTATGTGCTGTGGTGCTACTATGTTATTGATGATTTGTGAAAGTGAAGAGGAAAGAGTTGCCATATTTACATGTTGTGTATCAGATTTGATGTTTGCGCATGTAATATATTCTATTCTCTTCGCCTATTGAAAGACCCCTCCTTGTCTCCACCTCAATGCAGGCCAGTTCGGGTACAGGGATACTTTTTTTTTTTTTTTTTTTTTATTTACATGTGGTGTATCAGATTTGATGTTTGCGCATGCTAATATATTTCTATTCTCTTTTCGGCCTATTGGGAAAGGAACCCCTCCTTGTCTCCACCTCAATGCAGGCCAGTTCTGGTACAGGGATACTTTTTTTTTATTTTTTTTTTGTCCAAATATTAATTTATTTATGTATGTATCAATGGATAAATCATTTATTATAGCTTTTAAGATTTGAATTCTGAATCACCATACTTGAATTGATTTTTTTTCTTTCGAATATGTGATTTTTACTTTTTTTTTTTTTTTTTTGTCAAATATTATTTATTTATGTATGTATCAATGATAAATCATTTATTATAGCTTTAAGATTTGAATTCTTGAATCCCAACTTGAATGATTTTTTTCTTCGAATATGTGACTTGATATAGTTCATAGGTAATATCAAGAAAACAAGTACTAAATTTTATCATTATAATTTCCACTTAGTATTTTGTTAAATAATCATAATAATTGCTAGTAACCAGTTTGTAAAGTCATGGCGGTGTACAAAACATTGCCTGTTTGTTCGACATTGTTTAGCTGAATTGAGAATCCTGTCCAAACCCAATCCGAACGGACAGATTTATATTGCAAGAGTTCAAATAAAGAAGGTTCTACAGTTGCCTTTGTATCAATTGCTTCAATTTTTCAATATTGCAGTTTAAAATATAACATAAAATTTTCAACTCGGCTTTTTTCCAAACTCAAAAGAGTGCCAACAGAAGAAAACATTGCCACTGATAAGGGCAGCTACACTACATAGCAAGTATTAAACATGTTGAGACAACAAAATTGTTATAATGACATGATGATCAATGAATGTTAATTCTCTAGATGTTGAAACCTAAATATGTTAAAATTAGGATATACTTATGCGACTTTCATGATATACCTATACATAAAAATTATGGTGTCATGGCAGAAACAGCAAAATTTACCACCATGGAATTTCTCATGTATTGCAGAAAATTTCTTCTACAAACCCTCTAGTGTGACAAAACTGATTCTTCATCTTTTCCATTTTATTTGCCCAAACAGATAACCTCATGGATACTATTTGAGGGAGAATGCCTAACTGAGATAGGCAATTACTGATTAGTAGGGTCGTGCGATAGAAGCATCTTCAGTGTCTCGTATGTCATGAAGATAATGCCAACACTAGGAACTACTTTGCAGTATTCAGGCAGTATCCCTCTATACAAGCCTCGCAAACCTTCATTACGAATTATGTGCCCAAGTGTCCCAAACAAGCCAGTTGTATATACACGGGCTCGACCACCAGCTCCTTCCAACTGCATTCTCCTCCTCACAAGATCCAAAGGAAATGTTGCTGTACATTGACACAACAGTAAAAAAGTCACTCAGAGGCTATGATCGTGACCAAAGACAATAAAGCCTATCAAGGGAGTAACTAAAGATTCATTTAAGAAAATTGTACTAATCATCAAGGCACTAGAAAAACACTAAGAGAATAAGTACACGACATTGGCTTACAATAAAAAACATGGAAGTTACTATAAATTATTGAGTATCCATGGGATTACTGCTGAGGTCATACCAGTAGTGAGAATAGAAGGAAAAAGAATCACAAAAGAATAACTGGCCCTGTCAAGGCCTAAAGAATTCTCCATCTGATGGGTAGTCCTCTCAACAAGTCTCCCACTTAAGAGGAAAAATAATACCACCAGTGCAGCCAAATAATGAAAATATCTCATGAGAATTTGCGCTAATATCAATTTACTCTTAGATGCAAAAGTTTCAAAAGTATTTAACTGTTGACGAAAATAACCTAAATGATATCAGACACATATCAGGCTATAAATACTACAGGTTTTCTTTGACACAGTCCAAAAACTTTTAGTACAATCCCAAGAAAAGTTTCCCCTACAATTCCAAGAATCAACCTTCATGCCAGAAAAGGCAAGTCCCTATGCAAAAGCCATGCATCAATAAATCATATTCACATTTATTTGAAAAAAAAAAAAACCATAGAAGGCAAGGAACATTTAGATTTATCCTATATTAGAAACTGCCGCATAAATATCATATGGTACAGACATATTTGCACGTACTTAACAATGAAAGGCACATGCAAAGCTTAGAAACTAAAAAAAAAAAGGCTATTATAAAGATACTCTGATATTTGGAAAAAGATAAAAATTGGGTATTCACTTTGCTAAAGACCAAAATTGATTGATATAAGAAAATTTATGAGTTGAAACCGAAGAACTAAAGTACATTATATCTCATAGAAAGACTAAATTGCAAGGAACATGAAAAATTGAAGGAACATAATTTGTTATAGAAAAAGAATGATGATCAAAGTGTATATGTTGCCAAATTGTCAGTGGGGTATTTTGTAACAGCAAAACACATATTTAAGCCCTCAAACTTTTATTTACCAACATTAAGTCCTTCAATTTTCATTTAAGCAAACATTACGCCCTAAATTGACTGAGTGAACGACAGATGCTGATCACTCACAGCAGAAATAAGGGCGCTTAATTTTAACAAAAATAAAAGTTTCATGAGCATAATACTTTGATCAAGTCATCTCATCAACTCGCGTTTCACGTGTGATCATCACTCTCTAATCTTCAATTAAATAAGGACTTAATTTTAACAAAAACAAATTTAAAAGAGCTCAATATCAACACATAAACATTCAGAGGAAAAATGGGCACAACTCGATAAGTTCAAAGGTGTAAATATGTGTTTTACCTCTTGTAATTTATCCTAAAGTTTTGTTTTCCAGCTACCATTAAATAGGATCCAAAAACAAAGACTGATAAAACAATATTTTCAGGTACATATTGTGTTCCAAGATTGGGAAAGGGCTCAATTCAGCCTTGGATCACACGTCACTCACCTGTTGACGATGCAATGCCTGAAAGACTACCACAAGCAAGACTAACTGCAACAGTAGAATCGTTAGGCCTGCAGTCAAATGTGACAAAAAAATATAAGAAATCATTGCAATACTGCCAATCAAGACAGATTAAATATAACAGTGCACATTGGCATAATATTGCTCAATTTGACCAATTCATGGAATCCTTACCTTTGAGTCTGCCAGAAGGATCTGAGAGACTCATATACAGAAAAGCTTAATGCAATGCTTGGGCCAACACCCTGCAACACATGAGTAGCCTAATTGGCATTCAAAATCAACAACGAGGGGAAGCAAAAAAATAAGGGACATAAAACAGAACATACCAATAGAGTTGCTGCAAGTCCTTTATACAGGCCCAAAAAACCTTCTTCTCTGATTATGGTACTAAATGCATGCCACATACCCCTGTAGTATATTGTGTTCCTCTGCAGAGTTTAAAACTTAATCAAGTTGAGATTGCAACAGAGAAGTTCATGTTAACAGCAGAATAAACCCAACCTCCATGATAACAGTAAATAAAGACTCCCCTACCCGCATATCCCCAATACAAAGCAGCTCATTACTCACCCAAGTATGCTGGAGTTACCTGCGCTGCAAGGCGTGTCCTCACAAGATCCAGTGGATACGTGGCAGAGGCAGCTGTTATTCCTGCCAACCCACCACCTATAAAGTGCACAGCCAGGTCCATTGTTGCATTACCCCTCTGTCTTTCTAAGCCAAGAAATGATTGTAGTAACTGGAAAAGATAAAGACAACATGAAATTTTAGGAGCAGAAAGATCACATTTAATTTCAGAAGGTCTCAAAGAAATCGTCTTTACACTCTTGTAGCGTTCGTAAGCATAGAAGTTCACTGAAGAATAAGGAAGACGATGAACAATAGTAACCAAATTGCCTTTCCAAAATGCTCTAAACCCTTCTTCATGAATAACTCGGGAAGCTTCACGCCATAAGCTAGCCTGGTGCAAAGCTGAAACATCAGCATGCATGCCTTGAACCTAGTAGATTACAACAATAAGAAGCAGTCAGCAAAACAAACAATTAGCAGCAAAAAGGCACTAGAAAAGGCAATACTAACGCAGCAATGCATCCTACAATAAATTTAGGAACTTCATCAAAACACGTCAAGAAATTCAAGGTTTTTTGTAGCTAATTATCAAGAGGACTGAACCCTTTTAATAAGAAGGAGATGAACCAATCTATTCTGAGCTAAGCTGATTTTAATTCAAAACCACGTCAATTTTAAAAAGCTCGTTCCTTTCTTTTTCCAAGTTAATAGGTAAATCATAAATTCAAAGAAAAACATGAAAAGAAAACTAACATCTCTTGCCACATAATTGCAAAATTAAGTAGATAAAAGGGGAGAATATACCTGAAAGAGGATAGTAAGGCGAGCCAGAGGAGCCGTGCAGGTCTTACTAAAAGCACCAGCAATACCACCGGCAAGCAGCTGCTGAATGGTTCCTATCTGCGCTTGCCGACTCAAAGACTGCTGTTTATTATGGTTGTGATTGTGATTATGATTGTGCTGCTGCAGAAATTTCCTAGCACCGGCATCAACGACGCTACCATGAACAGCAGCGGAATTGAGAGCTCTCTGTCCTCCATCAACAACCACACCAACCCTTGCTTCCATATTCAATTTTCCCTCTCAAGATTTGCTCCTTTTCGTCTTTCTCTCTCTAAAAGCTTAACAGTAAGATTGGCGAAACATCAAAGTCATAGTGGCGAAGAGAGAAACCCTAGAACTGGTTAACCGAGGGTACGAAGTTAGTCTAGTCTCGACTCTTGTGAAGTTTTTTTTTTTAGTACTTTTTTGAGATTTTTTTTTTTTTTTTTTTTTTTGGAAAAACCCTTAGAACTGGTTAACCGAGGGTACGAAGTTAGTCTAGGTTCTTCGACTCTTGTTGAAGTTTTTTTTTTTAGTACTTTTTTGAGATTTTTTTTTTTTTTTTTTTTTTTTTTTGAGGTCTAGGGCTTAAAGATAAAAATAAAAAAATAAATTTTTTTTTTTTTTTTTTTTTTTTTTTTTTGAGGTCTAGGCTTAAAGATAAAAATAAAAAAATAAAAAAATAAAAAAATAAAAAAAATAAAAAAAAGGAAACGCAGAATATTTTTGTTCAATTATATTTCAGCTAGTTTTAAAAACTTGTTTTGCTGCTGATATTATATTCGTGATCTAATATTTTTAATAATAAATTTAAATATAATACAAATACTTTTAATTAAATTTAACATTAATTTTTAGTTATATTTATTTTTTATTAAATTAGCAGTGTTTTTTATCAAATTTTATATTCAAATATGATTTTTTATTTTTTTAAGATTTGATATAAATATTAATGGCCATTGTAATAATTGAGTTCAAATATTAGCCATTTAATGTTATAATTTAATTGCAATATTAGACCTATAATTAAATTCAAATATTAGTTATCTAAATGCTAATTACAAAATATTTAATTTTAAAAAATTTTTAATTGAGTTGGTAATTCGACATATTAATTTTATAATAATAATTTTAGTTATAAGATGATTATTTCCAAACTTAAAAGAATCTTTGAATAAAAAAAATTAGTTCTAAATCTTACATTTATATCTTGAAAATACTTAACATAAAATTTTTTAAAAAAATTAAAATCCATATAAAATTTTTATTATATAATTATTGAATTTCTTAAATTCATCGTTACAATGTGCAATTTTCAAATGTGTAATTTTCAAATTGTACCAATTTTTACTACTAAACATGAGATTTTAGGTGTCTAAAAAGGCCGAAGAATATTTTTTTTGTCCTAAACTGCAATTATAATATTCTCTTTATTTTAAAATATAAGTCGTTTAAGGTTTTTGTAAAAGAATTAAAGAAGTAATTAATTCTCCTAGATTATAACAAACTCAAGGGTAAATTTAACCAAATTATCCTTTATTGCAAAACCAATAGTTAATTGTAAAGTATTTATTATATTTAGTATAAATAAAGGTAATATTGGAAAAATATCATTTATTACCTTTTGAAATATATAAAACTGACTTCTATTTTGGGATAAAATAACAAACTAAAAACGACTTATATTTGGAACAAACGGAGTATGACCTAACAAGCAAATGGACCTCACTTTAATAGTCAAAGTAAAGATCTTTTACATCTAATTTTGAATCCACTTTCATGCTTCTTTAATTTGTAACCTCTTTGAAAAATACTAAATTTTTTATAAAATTAATAGAAAAATATTACAAAACGAATATAAAAAATCAACATGTTAATTTAAGAGTATTGAATTTTTTACAAAAGTAATACTCCCTCTGTTCTCTTTAGTTAGAGAATTTTCTTTTGGGGGTGTTTTTTATATAGAGAATTTTACCCTAAATAGTAACTTTAGGATGCAAGTCAAGTTAAAAGTCTAGAATGCTCTTAGAGTGTATGTGTTTGTTTTAGGATTGAAGCTCAACAATCAAGGAAAATAGCAGATACAAATATTATCAGTATTTAATATACGCATATTTCAAGGGACAAGTTATCAACTCACTTTTTCATTTCATTTTATAGTAACAGATGTCATTTTTATAAATTTGGCCACAAAATTAAAGTTCTAATATTAAAAGTCAAAATAATGGGCATATAAATACAAAGTTAGCCCTTATTTATATGTTTAGTGAATATATGTCCACTTTTATTATTGTAAAAGGTGAATATTATGTCCACTTTTATTTTAATTGTAAATTTGTCCACAATAATTTGATGTCAGGAATTAATATATATGTCCACTTTTATTATTGTAAATTTGTCCACAATAATTGATGTCAGGAATTAATATATATTATGCTCAATTAAATTTTGAAAATGCTCACGTTTTGTTTTTAAAAGTGCAAGTGTATTTTAATTATTGAAAAAAAGGGAAAATTAGAGTTTGTTTTTAGTACGTGTACACTTTTTCAATGGTTTTTATTTTTCTCTGTTAATTAACATTTGTGAACTTCTGTAAGCCACTTCCATTTTGTGGTTATTATTAGTAGTCGTGTAATTTTTCAATGGTTGTTGTTTCTCTGTGTTAATTAATGATTATGAACTTTTATAAGCCACTTTGTGGCCTTTTTATTATTAGTCATGCACTTCTGGGCCTAATATACAATTTCACCACCAACTTTGTGACTTGTTATATTTTTACTCCACAATCACCTTTAGCCACTAACACCCTAATTATGAGGTTTAAGGATAATAGCACGCCAAATGAAATTAGAGTTAAAATTATTAATAAAAAATAATAAAAGTGGGTCTCAATCTTACATCTTGGATTTACTAAACCCAACAACTTACTAAACCTCAAAACTCACCGTTTAACTAAATTTGTCTCACACAAAAGGCTAACGCCTCTCCTCTTCTCTTCCCTCTCATCGTTCTAACTCCAACAACCCCATTGTACGAACCCTAGTTAATGATCAATCTCACTAAAGTATTTCTCCATTATTTTGAGATGGATATTCATGACATCCTCAAAACTTCTAAACCGACTCATTAAAAGAGTTGCATATGCTAGCAACAATTCGATGTTTCATGCGAGTAACATATTTGAGATCATGACCTTTAATGAATCTTTTCTGTCAAATATTGGTAGTATGTAATTTATGCTTTTATTACCGTGAAAAAAAAAAAAAGAAAAAGAAAAAGACCTTGTTGTGTTTTGGAATTGATTTCAACTGTAAACCATCCTATAAAATATTGGAACTGATAATGCTTCACCATGGTCGATACTTTTGGTATTACAGTATACATTTCTGATCTGTTTGAAGGTTTAGCCTTCTATATATGCTGCTTTACTTTTTTTTTCCTTTATTTTTAAGAGGTTTGATAAGGGAATTTTATTCGAGTTTGAAGGCATTAGTGAATGCTTAGAAGCATTTAAGTATACGTTTTATAACCGGAGATTACTTTTATATTGCCGAGACAAGGTAAGTGGTGAGGCAGCAGTTTCAGTTTTTAACCCATTGTCGGCCTATTATTGCCTATTTCATGGTATAATTCAAAGTTTCATGTCATGAATGTCCATCCCAAAGCAATGGAGAAACAACTGAGTGTTGAGATTGATCATTAGCTAGGGTTCATACAATAGGACTTTTGGAGTTGGAACCATAAGGGAGAAGAGAAGATGAAAGACTCTATGGCACCCACGTTTATAAAAACGGAAACACCAATAATCAAGTAGAAGAATAAGATAAACGTCACAACGAGTTGATAAGTTTACCTTGATTCTTGATGCAATCCTTCCAAACCCCCAAACAAATAAGGATTGAGAACGTGGATCATAGGGTAGACTTAAACAAAAAAGAAAATGCCACAAGATGAAATCTTGATAAGTAATCCCTTCCTGTTGCAACAATTGAAGGAGACAAACTCCTCAATCAAAGGAAGGCAAAATAGCCACCAATTTTTATAAAATCCAACCTACCCCGTTTTACATCTTAAGAAGGCTATTTATATGCCTCAAACAAATCCAATCCTAAGGTAAAGTATCTAACTAGGCTTCCCTACAGCTCAAACACATGGGCTTTACTAAAGCACACAAAATAAAGTCATTTTTCAGCCCAAAATAAACAAGTTAGCTAGACCCAATTACATGCATAATAAAAATTAGCCCAAAGCAATTTAAATGAGGCCATGTAATTTAATAGAGCCTTTACAAAAGCCTAACATTAACTTCTTGTAATTGGCTACTAAGAAGCACCAATGGATTTCTCAAGTTGTTGTCCACGCTCCATGGTTGAGCGATGGCTGATCCTATCACAAATTTTATTAAATGGTGACTTTTGGGGGTTGAGTTAGTTGTTGGGTTTAGTAAACACAAGATGTAGAATTGAGATCTACTTTTATTAATAATTCTAACTCTAATTTCATTTTGAGGTGTTATTATCCTTAAACGTCATAATTAGGGTGTCAATGGGCTAAATGTGATTTTGGAGTGAAAATATAACAAGTCACAAAGTTGGTGGTGAAATTGTATATTAGGCTTGCACTTTTATAAGCCATTTTGTAGCCTTGTTATAATTAGTTGTACACTTTTTTGATAATTATTGTTTTATGTGTTAGATAACGGTTGTAAATTTCAGTAAGCCACTTTGTAGCCTTTTATTATTATTAATTGTGACTTTTAGAAATACAATATTTTTTTTTTCTAAATTTTTGTTATGGTTATACTTTTTTGTAAGCCACTTTGTAGCCTTGTATTAAAAGTAGTTATAAACTGTTGTAAGCCATTTTGTGATCTTATTATTATTAGTTATACATTTTTCCAGTAGTTGTTGTTTTTTGCATTAAGTAACGGTTGTCAACATCTATAATCGATTTTGTGACCTTATTATTATTAGTCGTACACTTCTATAAGCTATTTTGTAGACTTGTTATTATTAGTTGTGCATTTGGTTGTACTCTTTTGAAATCCACTTTGTGGCCTTGTTATTATTAGTTGTGCACTTGGTTGTACTCTTTTGTAATCCACTTTATGGATTTGTTATTATTGGTTGTACACTTTAAAATGTCAAATTGTCACATATTGTGTTAGATTGTGCATTTTAAAAAAAAAAAAATTGTGGCTTCAAACTCACACTAAAACTCAAACACTATAAAAAAAATGAAATTTAGCATTTTAACTAGCTATTTAAAAAGTTGTTGCCGAACACAGTTTTAGTAATTCAAATTCTTTGTGTTCATCATATGCAGTTAGTTCATGATAATTAGTTTATCTACAGAAGATTGAAAGAATTTGTCAAGCCAACCAATTTGAGGGTCTCAATTTTTCAAGCCACCTTTCAATTATTTAATTAAGATTTCTTATTAAATCAATAAATTTTGTTATACTATATTTTAGTTATGACAGAATATTTATGTATCTAGTTTTCAAGTGGTGGCGCCTAACTTCGATCTCTAAGTATACCTATATAGATATATTATTCCCTAACCAGCTCAAAATCACGAATTGGATTCGAACCAATATCTTTCCTTATCGGACTACTTCTCTTTGAGTAGATTGTGAGTGAGTTTGATATCCTCCTGATTATAATCCTCCTAAAATCATTAGCATTTTGTTGAAATTTATTCTATCTTTTCGCCTTATATATTAACAAACAAACATAAAAATCGAATAGTGATTACATTTTATAATTTTTTTTTTGAATTAGGTGACTAAATACAAATACAGTAATGGAATGTTAATTACATTTTATTGCAATATATTTTTTATTACATTATATTTTTAATTATATTACATTACATTCCATCGAACCAAACTTATCCTAAATAAACAATGGACCAGATATTATTCTTTTTGTATAAAGTAGAAATTAGGCTAAATGTAAAAATCCTCAACTTTTTTAGCGAACTGAAGACATATTTTTCCATAAATTTGGTCCGAGTCATTGCTAGACAAGGGATGTGCTTCTATTTTGTTTTGTTCAAGTAAAACGTGCAATTATGATATATCAGTAGCACGTTCTTTTTTTCCTTTGGGTGTTGGCACGTGATATGTCCACCCATGACGTGGATCAGCCCCTGAAACATGTTTTTTTTCATGTTTGGTTGTTTGGGTTTCCCCTTCGTCTTTGAGGGAGCTAGAAGTCTGACCCACTTAAATGCACCATATAAATTTAAATTCGTTTATAATAAGGTATTTCACATCGTCTCAAATTCCTTTGAAAAACTAAAATCTATTTAAAATATCCATTTAACACTAAAATGTTATTTTTTAAAAAAATATATATAAGTAAATAAAAAATCATAAATTATTTATTAACATAAAAAATTTAGTATTTTTTAAATGCTTTGAGATAATAGAAATAAATATAGTTAGTATATTATTAGAGTGCTAATTAAATGGATAATAAATAATGAGTATCTTAAATTCTTAAATCTGAAACTGTCCTAACCTTAACATGGATAGTAAAAATAGTATTCAAATCCACCACAATCCCTTACTTGGATTAAAACCGACCAGTTGCCAATTCTATTAGTATTAGTAAGGGACAAAAATGTAACATGCTTACAATTCACATTTCGCCTTCATAAGATAATCTATTAATTAATTTTTAAGAAAGGTAATGATAAATTAAGTTGGAAACAAAATATTTTTTAGATTGGTAAAAGGTGAACTATGTAGTAACATAAAAATTTTTTTTTTCTTCTTTTAATCATTTAAAGATATTGTATACTTAAAACAGAATATATGTAGTCGAATTTTTTAAAAGGTTTTAATCATTTTGTTTGAATTATTTCTGTTTATTGTTTAATTTAAACAAAGCAAATTCTATGCCTGAAAGAGGTCCAATATTATTCACTTCTGCTATGCAGCCCGGCACTACACAAAAAAAAAAATAAAAAGCCAGAATCACATCACACAAGAATTTTAGATTCATTATTTCAGCTCCCAAGATTTTCCATTTTAACCATCTTCACCAGATAACTTGAGAGGAGGATGAGAAGTTAACTAGTGAACTGCGAGCTATCATTCACACTCAGAACCACCATCAAATGTCAGTCTACACAAGCTTTAATTTGCCTCCGGAGGAATCATTTTTTTATAACTTAATTATAAATGTACCAGAAGAATTTTACATCAACCCTTTCTCTTAAGCACAACATCAAGAGATCTTATACACTGCAATTCAACAAACATAACTTGTTACACCATTTGAGGGCATGCATTTGACATTTTTCTATCAGAGTTTGGGTTCTGATAGACCCAAAAAAGCATTTTGTATCAAAATCTTCAACCGACAAAATGATGCAAAAGTTGGCCTCCAAGAGCATCCCTTCAGAAGTGCCGATTTTGTGTTTCGAAACCACCCATAACAAACCCCTCGCTGCTTGTTTCAGGACCAAGGCCAAAACATTGTGCTGCATGCATAGGAAAGGGCTCTGACAAGCCAATCCCATTATTCTGGTGAAGACCCAACGTCAAGGAAACACCACTGCTTCTGCCTGTTGTGCTTATGCCAACTCCCACAGGTGAATGGCTCGACAAACTGTTGTAAGACAGATTCAATGGTTCCTCATTCCCTGAAGGTAAATTTGGAAGACCATTTCTAGTGCGTTTGGGTGGAACATCTTGAGCCTTTCGGGTGGAGGTTGAGGGGTTGTCAGATACGACAGAGTCTGAAGGAGGTACCTGATCGCTTGAATTCTTGGCATTTTGCTCCTCCATTTGTGAAGACTTTTGTGCTTGCCGCGTTTCCAGCATGTGTATTTCTTCCACCATTGGTTTCCAGAGCCTTACTCTTGCATTGATGAACCAATTAGAAACCTGGTTCAGATGCATAAAATCTCAAACAATGACCCTCCCCTCAAATTCATATTTTTGAACTTTGAACATTATATGATTGGAAATGAGATGTAAGGACAAAAAAGTTTCTCTGATCTCAAATGCATACCTGGCTCCGTGATAGACCAGTTTGCTTGGCCAGCATTAATTTGTCTGTATCTGTAGGATAACTTCAACAGTGAAATGAAATTCTATCATTCTCATGAAACGATCGGTGCAAAAACACTCCTTTAAAAGCAAGACAAAGGAGGAAAAATGGAGAGGGAGTTGCAGAAATAAGGTAAAAATACAAGTTAATGATCGATAAACTACTAAATAAAACAAGGGACAGTTGCTCACTTACGGATGCAAGAAGTGTTCAAATAACCATGCCCTGAGGACAATTACAGCACGTTCAGGAAGCCCCCTTTGAGGTCGCCAAACAGGCTGGTGCTCGATGAATCCTGAATTTTGAACAGGCCTAACATATAGGTTTTTATCAATGTTCCCAAACCTCGAAGTCTCTTCCTTTACATGGCTGACTTGACCATGGCCCATAATGTTGAACTGAAGTTGGTCAGTTATTGCATTCTTCAAAGACTTGAAATGTTTAGACACGGCTTTCAATGCCAAGTTTGCATAGGGAGCTGCATTACTAAGCCCAGCAACACACTCAAAAGATGCCACTACTGCCTGCATCTGCTGATAATAATGCTTGTACCTCCTGTGAACCTAATAAACATACAAAAAAGGATAAGTTTTAGGAATATGCACAAATATCTAATGAGTATAAAATAACGTATTCTATCAAAAGTAAGCTAAACTTGGATGATTTGACATCTATTTCCTCACTTCTAGCATATCTGTCAAAAGCTTAAGGGCATTAATGCAAAAATCTGCGGCAAATTCGGAAAGCAAACCAACAATCACCACTCAAACCATATCACTCTCATTTCTCAAGATATAAAAGAGGAAAGAACTCAAAACAGATTCAAATAACTTTGCTTTTCATAACTGTCAAAAGTTTTGGTTAGATGATGTTCACCAAACCACCATAAATGGACGCTTGTGGAGTTTTCCAAATCACGATGATACATCTAACAACAAATACGATGATTTCCACAAGGGCTAACAGCATATTATTTGTCATGATCAATGTTCTTATTTTGACCTTTCCATTTATTAACCAGCAGAGAAGAGGAGAAAAACAAAGATTTGAATCATAAGTTTGGAACCCCAAGAAAACAGAAAAAATATACAAGCAATTAGTTTGTTGGCTCTTTTATTTTTGCTGGTTTAGCATTGGCAACATCAAAAGGTAGCAACGGTTGGCAATCTTTCTCGATGTGTGGATCTAATAGATCTCCAGATAAAAATTGAAAATTATGAAGCAAATTAGCAGAGAACATCCCCATTCATTAATGAACCAGTAAATTTGGGGGCATAGGAAAACTGAAAGTTATGATCAACTTCTAATGGGTTGATCCTTGTGTCCTCAATTAAGTAAGCAATCTGCCCAACAAATTAGATTTTGTGTTGTATGTTTTTTCTATAGTTTTCTTGGTTGTGACCATCGTCTGGACCAGATAGTGAGGTGGCAAATCCAAAAATTATCGTTGGCAGGAAGATACAAAATACAGACATAACGAAGACACAAGTACCTACTCACCATAACTATTATTTCAAAAATTTGTTATAGATAGATTCATATACTCTGCGTAGGTAAATGTTTTCCAATATACATATAAAGATAAATACAATACCAAAAACATCTGTTTCATATGAAAATAAGTTTCTTTTTCTTGCACCAAATACACAGCTGAGTAGGCCTTAAAAGGAAAACATCACAAAATCAAAATAATAAATGGAACAATTTTCTTATTTTCTATCATAAAATGGAAAAGTCAGTTACAATTTAAATCAAGTTAATTAATTTTTGGACCAAATCAAAGATAGCAATTAAAAAGCAAGGCCAACTGTTTACTGGTGGCAAACCTCAAAAGACTTTAGAAATTACACTAAAAGATCATGGGAGGGGCGCATTAGGCATTTGGGGAAATTTCCCCCAATACTCCCTCTCCATGGCGACTCCATCACCCTAATCCTCCCTCACCTCCATCCTTATGGAGGCAAGAACTAATCTCATATCTCTAGGGAACACCATGAATTACTTGAAACTGGATTAAGCAGACTTTCAAAATTCATTAGCAAAGAGAGAATTTCAGAAATGAAAATTTGCAGTATTTAGAGCCACAAAAAAGAAAATGTGAGACCTTATTTTTTTTTTTTTATCATTTTGAAGATCAACAAGCTTGAGTGCATATAAGCTAAATACTCCACAATAATGAAAAACAAAATATTTACTAACCAAATAGAAATACAGCCTTAAGATTAGATCGGTGATGGATGAGTAAACTTAATAGGGAGCACAAATTATTTGCATCCAACACCAGAACAATAGATTTTAATTTCATGACAAAGAATGGAATTTGCTACTTTTTCTAGCGACAGCAGAAGCTAGTTTCGAACTAGATAACAATCCCTGACAGCATTACCATGCATATATTTAGATTTCACTAGAAATATATATAGCATCCACAAGCACAAAATGGTCACAAAAAGTTTCATATCGTGTTATATTCATGCTACCTGAAGCACAACATTAAGCAAGACTAATTAATAGGATGAAGTACCACTAACCTTGCTACTTAGTGACACTAGCTTGCTGCAAAAGTCAAGCTAGAGTCTCCTCCAGCTCTCTTCTAGCACTAATACTAAAAATTTACTCAACATTCAAACACACAAGTGAACTGAAGTAATGCAAGATGACTAAAAATTGCTGTTCCAAGAAAATTAATAACAATTCACTCAGCTTAAAAAAGTCTAGACTAAAAATAACCAGCACAACTTATTTTGGACTGCTAATAGCATTCAAGCAAAACTAGATGTTCTCAAACAACTAACTTCTACTTAAGTACTATACACAACTTTCGGCATGGCAGGAAAAGAGATTGGCATGATAAGATATAAGGGACAGGCGAGATGCTACAAATTCAAATTCTTGGTTAAGATCTGATTGCATGGCATGTGATCATTTAGAAAAAATAAAAAAGGAAAACTAAAATAAAATTGCGAAAAATTCCCTTGAGCCTTGGTATGTTTCAGTCTTTGTTCTTCCTATTTCTAAAACCCCAAAATTGGCCCAAACTAGTCAAACCAGCATGATCTTCATCCAAAACATGTAATTTTGGGCCAGAGAATAGTAAAATGGATAAGACTTGCCTACTAAAATATTATAGGGAAATGAGGATAGCATTATTAATACTCAAAAGTTGAGGGAATATATATATATATATATATATATAACCATTGTCGGTATATATATATATATGTAGGATAATCAAAATATTTTTGATGCAGCAGCTCACATTTTCACGGAGGCACAACCCCACATGAAAGCAGAAAATTCAGATTCCACCAATATGCTTTCTGCGCTTCACAATCATGACACTATTCTGCAAGTTGATCACAATGTCCCACGTAATTAATCCAAACAATTAGTTGAACTCTTGTAACTTGCATGAAGGCTATTGAAATATCTCAAATACATCCAGCATAACATTAATGGCAATGTACATGCAACCACCATATGTCATACAAATTTGATGCAGAGCAACTTGCACTTATATGTATGGAAGATTTGGATCGCTGCAAAACCAAGAAGAAGGGGCACGCCCATGCCAGCCTCTGGAAGTCCAGGACGCGAGACACTCCCACGCTTATGAAGCACAGACACGCCCGTGTCACTTTCCAACCCGCCCGTGCTAGCCTCTGGGAATCCAGAGCACGCCCGTGCTGACAGGTCTAGCTACGATTCACATATAGACACGCCCGTGTCACTTCCAACACGCCCCATGCCAGCCTCTGGAAGCCCAGGACATGCCCGTGTCATGTCTAGCATGCCCATGCCGCCACTCTTACTAGGATTTTGTCTAGTTACGACTTTTGTATTATTTTTTTAAGGTTTATGCTTTAGCCTAACCTATAAATAGGTTATTTTGTATCATTGGCACATTCATTAATCTTTGATCATTATTCCTATCACTAACTTCTTTGAGAGTTTAGTTCTCTATTATTCATCGGATCAAACGTCACTGATCAAAACTTTTGACGAAGTATAATCATTTATTCTCATTCACGTAACCGTTTTGCGTCAGTTGGTACCAGAGCTGAAAGGCGAAATATCTCCACAGCCGACAGTCATGAGACACGACTCACAGCCATAGAGGCGAAGTTCGAAGAGTTAACCGAACAGATTAGACAGTTGACTCTCACAATTCAACAAGGCAACCCACAACCTGCAGTTGCAACACCAACTCCCAATCCATAGAAAGCAGAGTATGCCAAACACCATAATCGTTATAATGTTGTAGGCCAAAATTACAGAGGGCATGGTGACAAATTTCTTGATGGATACAAGATAAAGGTAGATCTTCAACCTTTCTCAAGATTGTTAGATGTAGAAATCACTCTTGATTGGCTAGCAAAGGTTGAACGATTCTTCGAGATCATGAATGTCAAGGATGAACGTAAAGTTTCCATTGTGACCTATAAACTAAAAGGCGGCGTAGCAGCATGGTGACATTCTATTCAAAACAAACGCCATCGTCGAAGGATTGAACCTCTGCGAGATTGGATCTTAATGAAACAGGTGATTGTGTAGCGTTTTCTCCCTAGTGATCACTCCCAAATCCTATATGATGGGTACCATGATTGTTTCCAGGGAAATCGAAAAGTAGATGAGTAAACGGAAGAATTCTTGAGATTGTAGGCTTGATTTGACAATTGTGAGACTGAATCCCAGCAAGTGGCTCATTATCAGAGGGAATTGAATTATGATATAATGTGTATAATGGGTGTAGTTGCGATTTTCACTTTGGCATATGCAATTGAGATGGCCAAACATGCGAAAGACAGAAGTCAATTGGCAGCCTTGGCAACCATCTAATCGTAACCAGAATTTCAGGCAACCCTATGCATTCGAAAATAAGCAGTTCAGTAGAAATTCCGGTGGACAGAACTCAAGAGCAACCACTCCTGCCAATAACCAGAGTTCACAGCAGCTCACAACAAAAGAAAAGAAAGACTCCTGGGGGAAGCTCCCATTACAGACAGAAACAATAAATCGAATCTGTATCAGAAGCCAACTGGAAATCATTGTTATCGTTGTAGAAAACAGGGGCATACATCTAATATATGTCCAGAACATAGGGGGGCTAATGATGGGCGTCGACAGGTGAATGTAGTTGATAAGGTGAGAATTCTTGAAGTATTGTAGCTTGATTTGACAAATTGTGAGACTGAATCCCAGCAAGTGGCTCATTATCAGAGGAATTGAATTATATACATATATTAAACTTGATTTATGGGCGTTTTTTGTAGTGCGCATTTTCACTTTGGCAATCAATTTAGAGATTGCCCAAACATAGCGAAAGACAGAAGTCAAATTGGCAGCCCTTTTGGCAAGCCCATCTAAATCGTAACCAGGAATTTCAGCAACCCTATGCATTCGAAAATAAGCAGTCAGTAGAGAATTCCGGTGACATGAAACTCAAGAGGCAACCACTCCTGCCAATAATCCAGATTTCAGGCAGGCATTCTATCTACTATATAATTGATTTAAGACTCCTGGAGCTACCCATACAGACAGAACAATAAAATCGAATCTGTAT